TAACTTTATGAGAATAGAGTCGTAACTTTATGAGAATAGAGTCGTAACTTTATGAGAATAGAGTCGTAACTTTATGAGAATAGAGTCGTAACTTTATGAGAATAGAGTCGTAAAATTACGAGAATAGAGTCACAACGGGAATATTCATAAAATTATGAGAATAAAAATGTAACATTACGAGAAAAAAGTCATAACATTACAAGAACAAAGTCACATGATAAAGTTGTAACATTACGAGAATAAAGTCGTAACTTTACGAGAATAAAGTCGTAACTTTACGATAATAAAGTTGTAATATTACGAGAAAAAAGTCACAACGAGAATAGTCATAAATTTCTGAGAATAAAGTTATAATATTGAGAAGTCCTAAAATTATGAGAAACAAGTTGTATTCTCTTTACTTAACTCTACAAGAAACACTTTCTTCACTAAAATGAGGAATGTTGAGCATTATGTGAAATTATACTCTGGTTTTGACAATAAGGAAATCTTTTAGCACCAGCATCAAATTTGGCAGTAGCTCAAAGTGGACTCAGGTTGCTGATTGGTGGTTCTGCTCGGAGCTCGAAGCTTTCTTTCTGAAACGGGTTGCTGTATGATGACTTCATTCTCGTAATATTACAACTTTATTCTCTTAATTTTATGACTTTATTCTTAAAATAAAAAACCCTATAACCTGGCCCAAATAGTCCGTCAAAGGATAGTAGCATATTGACGGACGAAAACATTTTTATTTTTTTTTTTTAAATGCCAAATGTTTATACTTTTTTCTTTTTTTTTTTACAATTTTTATTGTAATTCTCGAAATAGAGGGGGAAAAAATCTTTAGCCTGGCTCTAAAATTCCGTCGTAAAATACTGCTCTTAGTGGGTCTCTCTATCAGTTAAAGGCATATTTCACAGACTCTATACTCCAGTTAACGATTAATTGATTACTGATCGATTATTTGAATCGACGATAATTTCGATAATCGATTAACCACCATTAATCTGAGTAATTGTTTCAGCGCTAGTGTTGTTAGACCTTGTTAAACGTTTTTAATAGAAAGAAAAATGTTGGAGTCCTTCACATGTATGCTAACAAAAAGCTATGGTTGTAGCATAGCAACGGAAGGGTTCCCTCTGGGGTGAATCACCTTGGACAGTATCATTTTTAGAATAACAGGAAGCAGAACCACATTTTATGCCAAATTAAATAAATCTGAGTCGCAACCAAATGTCCAGTTGTTCTAGCGAATGCTCTACAGGTTCTTAAAGTTTTACCGAGTGGCGACCAACCGTTTCTTACTAAATGTAGGTGTCTAGGCCTTAAGGCTATCTAGTAGAACCAGAAACAGTTTCTTTATGAAGATAGAACAATGTTATTACACAGCTTTTAACCAATAAACTCCTGTGTGTGCTTTTGTTTTGCAGGGGAACCACCCCTTGACTGGCAACGTGCTGATTTTGTGCCTTCTGTGTTTGTGTGCCAAAAACAAAGGAAGAGCGATAAACCAAAGTGCAGGCTGGAGCTACAGGGCAATGAAGGAAGGGAACATCAGGATGATGATGTTACCATGGAGGCTGTTGCTAAGACTGACACAGCAAAGAGTGACCATCTAATAGAGCGTAAGGCTTTCTTTTTTGTTAAAATTAGTACTTTTTTTCAACACATTTTAATTATGTGCTTTAACTTTCTGTTAAAGCATATAAATAGGACCATGATCAGTCCTAAACAGGCTAAAAGCCACCATAAACCTCTTAAGATTCAGTGCTTTTTCCTTTGTCAACATTATGAACTCAATTTTCCATTTTTTCTTGAAAAACTCAGCACAGACATCTGGATGTCATTCTGATGGTAACTAAGAGAGGGAAGGTAGTGCACACAGAGGGGGTCTCACTCCCAGAAGGAACAATAGCAGATATTGAAGACAGCTACAAGCATAGATATCCATAATAAAGGCTAGATGTCTCGTCCGCGCTGCTGGCCAATGGGGGTCGACGTCCGCAC